TCAAAAAAGTCTCGAAAACGAGCCCGGGGAGTTGTGTATACTAACTCGTCGTGTTTTTGAAAGTAGACGAGCGAGTGAAACGAGACGGTAGAGTGGCCTCCCTCGGTCGCGAGAGCCAGAGGAGAGAGAGAGAGAGAGAGAGAGAGAGAAAGAAAGAAAAAAAAGATAGGAGCATAGAAAGATCGCGAACGAACGAACGAACAAACAAACGTTAGAAAAGATTAAAGAGAGCGTGAAGAGAACGATGTCGCGAAGGTGGTGCTGAGAATACGCAAGATAACGGATCGAAGCGTTTCGCGAACGCGGGAAACGAGAGACGAAAATCGGCTCGTAGCTTCCGTTATCTTCCGCCCCGTCGATCCTTCGACCGGAACGAACGGACGGACGCGGTCTCGCGCGCGGATTTTACATCGGAAGGTGCACACACACACACACACACACATTGAGCGAGATGCCTCCGCGCGCGAGCTATCTTGTCCTTGGTGCAACAAGGAGAGCTGGACGGATTATTGGTCAATGCTAATTCGATTACAGTGGCGTTCGATTACGTTATTCAATTATGTTGCATTTCAGTTATGTTGCAATTCGATCGCGTTGTATTTCAATTTCTTTGTATTTCAGTTGCACCGTATTTCAATTATATTGTATTTCAATTAGATTGCAATTCAATTACATTGTAATTCGACTAAATTGTATTTCAATTATGTTGAATTCCAATTACGTTGCAATTCAACCACAATCTATTTAAATTACACCGTATTACAATTACGCTGCAATTCGACTACATTATATTTCAATTATGTTGTATTTCAATTACAATTGTAATTCAATTACGTTTCAATCCGACTACATAGCAATACAATCACGTGATTCAATTATATTGTATTTCAATTACATTGCATTTCAATTACATTGCATTTAAATTACATTGCAATTCGACTAAATTGTATTTCAATTATGTTGAACTTCAATTACATTGTATTTCAATTATGTTGAATTACACCCACAATTACGTTGTATTTCAATTACGTTGCAATTCAATTACGTTGCAATACGATTACATTGAAATTCGACTAAATTGTATTTCAATTACATCGTATTTCAATTACGTTGCAATTCAGCGACATTGTAACACGATCGCCTAATTCGTACCGTAATTCCGTTGATTCAATTGCTGATCAATTCAATTACTAATGATCCGGATCACTAGCGTAACTGAAATACGATACAATTGAAATATCAATGCAATCGAGATGCAAATGCAATTAAAATAAAACCTAATCGACCTACAGTTCTTCAAATCGCGCGTCACCGAACTTTTTGAACAAGTCAGATACCTTTTTATTGCTTTCAATCGAATAATTTTTCAATTTCATAAAAACTATATTTATTACTTACAGATAAAATGTTAATTGAACTTGTAATTTCTAATTTTTGCTGTAAATTATGTTCCATCGACATGATTACATAATAATAATCGACATAATTACATAATAATAGTCAACATAATTACATAATAATAATCGACATAATTACAATATAATAATCGACATAATTGTAAATAATAAATTAAAATCGAAGGAATATATGGACGAATTCGATCCGGCTCTCCTTCTTGCACCGCCGGGACCCCTGTCGATGATCAAGGGGATCGATACACGATCTATCGGGAAACGGGGCGCGCGCAAATAATCGCGGAGCCGCGTGTCGCGTCGCGATTCTTCCGGTCTCATGCGTTGTACATAAAGTCGATCGAGAGGAAAACGGGACGGACGATCGTGATCTATATTAAAGTGGATCGCTTTCGTCCGCCGCGAGGATCTCGAGGATCTCGAGGATCGCGAGGATCGCGAGAGAGACAGATATATGTATACATATGTATACGTACGTATGTATATAATCTCTGTGGGAGTCTAGATGCGAAAACGACGCGACGATTCGGTGGACGACCACGAAACTCGTTCATACTCGTTTATACTCGTTCGTTTTAGTGTCGATGTTCAATATATATAAACAAACAAGCATATACGTGTATCGTTAAAAAAAAATTATATAATATACATATATAGATTTGTAAGTGTATACATTAGACCCGCCGTCGAATAGATGGAAAGAAAGAAAGAGAGAGAGAGAGAGAGAGAGAGAGAGAAAGAAAGAAAGTATGTATGTGCGAGAGAGAGTGAGAGAGTGAGTGAGAGAGATTAATCTACGATTTTAGTCACGCCGGCGAGAAGTTTATAGTTACACGACTAAACACGCAGAATACCCTCCTTTTAACATTCTACTAATCGATTATTTATTATTGTACAATGGAAAGGCCAATAAAATCGATTGTTTTAAGTACAAGCCTCGTTTGTTGCCGATTCGATAGCTTTACACACGATACGTACGTATGTACGTCGGTGGAGATACATATATATTATACATATATACATGGATATACATATATAGTTTCTAAGAAAACGCAGGAAAGATTTTTTAAATTATTTGTAGTAGAAATGGCATCTCCGAGTTCCATGCAGTATCGTTATCATTCTGCACTCGTTCAGATCAGGAATTTATGTAGAACATGTTTTAATTGCTACGCATGCAAATACGTGGCATACTAATTTACGGAATTAGTTAATTGCCAAAATTAGTTCATTCACAGAATTAGTTATTTCCCAGAATTAGTTACTTCGCAAAATTAGTTAATTCCCAGAATTAGTTAACTCCCAGGATTAGTTAACTCCCAGAATTAGTTAATTTCCAGAATTAATTACTTCGCAGAAATAGTTAATTCCCAGAATTAGTCAATTCGCAGAATTAGTCAATTTCCAGAATTAATTACATCACTGAATTAGTTAATTCCCCGAATTAGTGAATTCCCACTAGTTAATTCCTAGAATTAGTTAATATCCAGAATTAGAGATAATTCCCAGAATTAATTACTTCGCAGAATTAGTCAATTTCCAGAATTAGTTACTTCGCAGAATTAGTTAATTCTCAGAATTAGTCAATTCCTAGAATTAGTCAGTTCCCAGAATTAGTTAATTCGCAGAATTAGTTAACTCCCAGAATTTCGTGTCAAATAACAACGCGGTCCTTTCTGCCAACAAACGCACGATTAATCTCTGTTCAACGCTTTGTGACACGTCTGCAATATGGAGAACTATTACATTTACATTACAATGAACTCCATTAAACACACACACATTTTGTT